GTAGTCTACTGGTTCATACAAAATTAATATTCTATAGTGTGACCAAACACTATTGGTTAGGTAAGAGAATGAAACTATCTGGGATTCAATCAAAATAAAGAAAGTTGCACTTTAAGTCTGAATGACCAGATTTTCCTTTTTATTCTTCAGCCCTGGAACCTTGTTTGAAATATCCATTACATTTAGCACTTTGTACCTAAATGGCCACTCCAGTTAGAGCTTGCACCTAGAAATTGATTCCGGTTTTAGGAAGCCTGGCCTTTGTCAAAAATACTGAATCCTGAAGCTAATCTAATGTCATGTATTAATTACAGTCCAATTAATAATTAATTAATTTAAAAATACCGAATCCTTTCACAGTTCAAAGGAAAATAAACCCAAGTTTTACATACTGTATCCTTGCTTGGAAAATTACTTCAGTAGAGATGTGTATGTTGCTGGTGACATTTTCAGTGGAGGTACTAACATACTTAACCCACATGAAATCAACTGGAGGAAAAAGAAAATAAAAGGAAAACCTCCTTCTAGTTTTATTAGGGTGCAGAAAATATGAGACTAAAGTATGTCTTAACTATTCGATGAGAAGTTCTGTTATCATAAACCTGATTTATGTGTTCAGTCGACTGCTGTAGTTGATTTGTATGCTTTTTAAAAAGTTGAAGTTCTTCTTGGACCCTTTTAATAATTCCAGAACAAATAGGTCTTTTATAAGTGGGTCATTATTACTTTATCTTTACCTCTGATTTAGGAAACTTTGGCTTGATTTGAATATTCAGATACATTCCAGTTGATTTTGTTTCTTTGGTTGGTTGGTTTTGTTTTAAGATTCATCTATTTATTTATTTTTAGAGAGAGAGCATACACGCAGGGAGGGACAGAGGGAGAGGGGGAGAGAAACCCTAGTAGACTCCTCACTGAGCTCGGAGTCCCAACGTGGGACTCGATCCCAGGACCCTGAGATCATAGCTGAGCCAGAACCAAGAGTCAGTTGCTTAACCAACTGTGCAACAAGGCCCCACATTCCACTTGTTTTTAATCTCTCCTGTCCATGTAGGCCTGCTTTCTTTGACCATGCTCAGAAGCACTATGTAATGTTTCTACATCTCAGCATGTTTGGTATTAGATCCCAACCCTTCCCAGAGGAAAGAAAAGGTCATTGGAAATTATAATTATCTTTAATCTTTCCCAGTCAAATTGGTTGTTTTATGTCCTTTATATTACATGCTAAGTTTAGATGTATGTCAAACTATGGCCAGGATTAAAAATGAACACAAGCATACCAAATTACTGATTGTTTTGTAAATAACGTATCATTGTGAATTTGTAATGAAATAAAATGCATTTTGAGCAATTTCTTAAAATAATATACCTCAATAATGACTTTTCATGTGAGGCTTGTTAATGAAAATCATGAGGTGGAGGCAAAATGTAGGCTTATTCCTGGTGAACCTAAACAGTCTGAACTATTTTATACTCAATAGTAGAAGGGATTTGGAATTCATCTGTTAAAAGACATCATCATCAGTAATCTATTTAGATGTGTCTCTGTTTGGTTGGTAGTGTATTTATATATAATTTTGTCACAAGAGAAGTCATTATTTTTTTATTCTAGTAGAAGAACAAAGCATTGGAAACATATTGAACTGAAGTGAGTACCATCTGATTTCCCATCATCCATTACTCCAACAAAGACTAAAGTCTTTCCTTTGATTTCAAAATCAAATCTCTCTGTTAAAAAAAAAAAAAAAGGTCTCTGAACTAGAAGCCATCTGATATTCATGGGTAATGGGATTGTATGATACTATCCCTGTGGCTACCTTTTTAAAAATATTATCACATCTTTTTACACCTATTTCTGCTGCCTACTCAATTTTTTCTTTGCTGTTGTTAGGTGGCCTCTTTGTTATTCATTGGAAATATGGTGTTTATGTTGTTTTAGCTGAGTCTCATTAAGGATCTTTAAAGCTATTGTTGACTTAAATCATGTCAATCAATTATATTAATTGCTTTTTGAGTACCAAAAGTATGAGAGCAAATTGTATGTATCTGTGTATATATTTTTATGTGTTTTTATGTGCTCTTTTTCTAAGCTATTCAAAAAGAATATCCAAAGCTGTCAATTCTCTCCACCAGTCTTGCTTAGGACTTTTCTACTTCCCCTACTAATACTGTGATTACTTATTTTGTGGCATGAAGCAGTTATTATTAAACAAGTAATGAACTTACAGTATGGATGTTCAAGTCAGTGACAATCACTAAAGAGATAAAATTATAAATGAACTATGTGATATTTCTTTTGGAAAGTCAAAGGGAGGCTCGGCTATATGTGATCTATTCTCTGGGCATAAGTATTTGCTTTCATTTTCTTGTGAATGTTGTTAGGCTATAGGATGAGATAATGGTTCCATGGAAGCTATCAGAATTAAAAACAAGATTTCCTTCACTACCTCAATCCACAGATATTTCATAGGAGATTATTATCTGATAGGTATTGTGCTAGCACTGAGAATACAATAATTAACAGCACACACAGTGTCTGACTGTATAGAACTTCAGAGGGAAAACATTTATTGAATATGCAATTACAAAGTCAGTGCCTATTCCAAAGGGCATGTATCCGGTGCTAGGGAAGCATGTAGTCAAGTGTGCTAATCTAACTTGGGGACAGCAGGAAAGACCTCCCGAGGAAATAATCCTTCTGCTGAGAAGACTCCATTAATGAGTCATGTTTGGCTAAGGAAAAATGGAAATGGCGTGAGAGTGAGGAAGAGCATTTCAAATAAAGAAGTTATAAGTACAAAAGCCCAGAGGAAGAAGGAGAGCCTTAGAAAAATTGAAAGAAGTCTCATGAGGATGGACAGAGGAGAGCAAGGCAGGGGCAGGCATGAGATGAGGAACAGGAGGTAGGAAAGGACCAGATCATGGAACACTCATAAATCTCATCAGGGGCTTGAGTTTTTGTCTTAAAGTCACTGAGAAGGGTTATAATAGACAAATGGCATAATTAGATGTCAGCTGACATGTGGAGAATGGCTGCAATTGATTGCAGATATGACACAGAGAGGTTTGTTAATATGCCTTTAGTAGTATCCGGGGAAGAGGTGTTTTGGAGCCTAAATTTGGATGGTGTCTCAGGAAATAATCATTTCTGGTGATGCGAACATTCTAGCATGAATAACGGTCTAAGGAACTACCTAATTATAAAGTCATCGTGACAGTTATAACAGTGTGAATTGGTAGGAGTGTTGGTGGACAAAGAAGTTAATAGAGTAAAGGGTATGTGTCTTTGAAAAGCTATTTCATGTTTGCCTATCAAATTATGTGCATAAACATGTTTATCACATAAATCAAATATAAGCCAAAGCCACATATTCATTATTCATCTCACTGCCTTAAGATAACCAATATCATATCTTAGTGTATTTTTCCAAATATAATTTGTTTGCAAGCACACAGAAGAGAACACAAACTGTGCACTCTTTTAAAACAAAGATAGGCTTGGAATTTAAGCTATTTGTATCCTTGGGTTTTTTTTTTTTTTTTTTAGATTATCAATATACTAAAACTATCCCTACTTGACACACAACAATATGTTAGTTTCAGGAATACAACATATTTACATTTTAAATTAAGTACTAATGCATGAAATATTATTAGTCAAATAGACATTCAAAGGACAAGTCGATAAGGTCTAAGTGACAGTTCTTTTCTATTTCTCTAAAAGTGTGTGACTAATATAATGGTGGGTTTATTGTGGTATGTGTAGTGTATAGTAAAAACAGTATAAGAAAGCACTTACAAATTATTCTGAGAAAAATTTGTATCTATTATCTTTCTGAGCAAAATGCTCCAGTATTTTCTTGTCAGCAGTACTACCTTCCAGTATTTCTTTCTCCTCTAAGTTCTTCTCTGAGCTTTTGCCAAAACATCTTAGCTCAAATTCCATGTTAGTTAATTTTTACAGAATAGAAAAACTTCTTGCACTATATACTATTGAGCACTGAGATGGCAGCCTGGATTCTTCCTGAGTGCTTTATAGATCAAGTATACATTCATCTATTTGCAAGCATTATTCAAGGTCAGTTTAAACTGTGTTTCTGTCAGCTAATGTTTGGTCAAAGAAGCGAGGCTCCCACTTAGTTTGCATCTGTGAGTAGGAACCACTGTTTGTGGCTTGTGTTTGTTCCTTCCACTGTCATGCCTTCTTTAGAATAGTTTAATAAAAGCAGATATTTGAGAATAGAAGAACATACATATAATTTTTTTCCATATGTTATACACTTCAACATGTGTTAAGCTTTAAGTGAAACTGAAGGACACTCAAATAAAGTCACTTTTGTCAAAGCCTTTTCCTGTAATAACATATTTGGATGATGCAAGATATATTCCCTTGTGATGTCCAAGTGATTGATAAACCAATTTGTGTGGAATATACAAGAACTATTCAGACTTTGTGGTTTCCTTAAATGAGATGAATAAGAATTTCTATTTTCTGAATAGGACATAAAGTATTCTTCTAGGCCAATTTTAGATGCTTCAGTGTGCCAAAGTTGGTATTAAGTTTGGTGTTCATAAATTACTAATCTGGAATAAGAGGTTGAATGTATTTTGAAAACTTAAACCTGTTTCACCTGAACATGTTTAACTAGTTAATAAGAAACATCAAAAAGACAAAACCCTGAGATCAATGGTCATTTTTTTGTAAAGCTATTATATGCTGTTTAAATTGGTTGTTCGGGTCTGTCTATAATATAAGTTTAATAACCTAGCTCAAATGCAGATTTCTAATTTTCAATTAACATAGGAATAATTTTGTTTGCTAAAATAAAATAAATGAATGAATGACAAGTCTGAAACATGAAATGTTCTAGGTAGAACTTTTTAAAATTCCAAATTTCAAAAAATCATGTGGCAACTGTATAGCTCAAGCTTTAAGTATTAACTTTTAACCTTTGACCTTACAGATTTTAACCAATGAAATGTCTCTTTAAACTTTAAAGGAAACAATGATAACGAGCGCCTGGCGATTGCTAGACAGCGAATTCCATATCGACTTGGTCGAGTAGTTGATGAATGGCTACTCGACAAAGGTAAAAAACATTGATTAAAACTTCAAATAAAAAAATAATTTGAACATAACCAAGTAGTACTTCATTGTAACACTAATAAACATAAAAAATAAATTTTCCGTAAAACTAAATTAAAAACAAATTTAAAACAGTAAAATGTAGATAGTAATATTTGCATACCTTGTATAATAATTTCTATACATTTTTAGACGTACCAGCTGTTTAATAATCTTACCCTGTTAACTTAAGGTTAAAGGGACTGTTAAATATAATCCACTAACTCAATCTATGAAGGTACTCACAGCAAGCATTAACCCAAAATGATAAATCATTCATAGATTATATTACATGTTCCAGCCTCTAAATTATTAACTAAAATATATGTAGTTCTGATATCTTTATTATGGTCCTGAAAACAAAACAAAACAAAACAAAACAAAACTCTTGGTTTAAACTCTAGGCATCTTAAATAGTGGGCAATATGGATTGCCAGTCAAAATGAAGTCCCTTTAACGTTTGCAACCTTCTAAGAGCATTTGAGAACAAGCCCTAATTAAAACTGAACTTGAAGTTGTGTGCATGCTTTTTATGAGCAGAGAACAATCTGCTAAAACTGGATACTCAATTTGATGATATTGGTACTGTTGCTGAGGATTGCTGTTTGATGGAACTGTGCCATAATTTCTCCATTGGTTTGTGTATCATTCCTGAAGCCGCTTTTTACATCTGAAGCTATTTTTTTTTCATTTTATTTTGTTTTAATAGACTTGCTGAAAGCCAATCAGAAAAATACTTTTGGATTTTTTTTTGTCTCTGACATGCTCAGTGTAAACCATGCATTTCTTTTCAGTGTGATTGCCGGAAAAATAGAATAATTCAAATAACAATGGACTATGCCTTCAAAAAAATAAACATTTTTAAAGAATAGCATATAGATACATGTGGCCATTACATGAACTATGAAATTTTTATCATAAATTTAAAATGAGATTTAGCTGCTCTAGATTAGTTTCTGCCAGTGGTAATTTTAGAATGACAAATACTTGAAATGTTAGATATCTCACATTTTTTTAATTTAACAAGTTATACTTAAGAGACCAACAGTATAAGATCTTGAGGTAAAAGGGAGAAGGGATCCACTAAAAATTGATTTATAATACGTATCTTTGATTGGTCTTTTAGCAAAAACACTACATTTACAATAAGTTGAGAATTTACAAGTATTTGCCAATGATTATGCATTTCATGGACACCTCATTTATAAGCAATGAATTATGAGTCAAATGCCTCTCTTATAGTTTATTGCTCTCATTATCCACCCCATGAAAGATCTGTTTTATCATCCTTTGTAGAATGTAGAGTTCACAATCAACATTTTTGCATGTATGTAATATTATTTTTACAGGGCGTCAGCTCACAATCTTCAATAGCCAAGCAACCATAATAATTGGCGGGAAAGAGCAGGGCCAGCCCTTCCAGGGCCAGCTCTCTGGGCTTTACTACAATGGCTTGAAAGTTCTGAATATGGCAGCCGAAAATGATGCCAACATCGCCATAGTGGGAAATGTGAGACTTGTTGGTGAAGTGCCTTCCTCAATGACAACTGAGTCAACAGCCACTGCCATGCAGTCAGAGATGTCCACATCAATTATGGAGACCACCACAACCCTAGCTACTAGCACGGCCAGAAGAGGGAAGCCCCCTACGAAAGAACCCATTAGCCAGGTGAGTATGTGGATTTCATTCCTTTGTTTTGGAACTGTGGTTATGAAAGTGGGCTTTTCTGTATATGTGTCTTTTCTAAAATGGGATTGTTTCTGATCTCAGGTGCCATGGCTTTCTTTGAGTCTTGCTTAGCATAATGTACTCAGTTTGAACGTGAAGTATATATATATATATATATATACTGTTGATTTGAGATTTGCTGCTTTGTGTTGGTTTGTTAGCTGTTAGCTGGTAGTCTTGATTAATAACCTTGGTCTAGCCCAAGCTGAGAGGACTGCCTGCTAATTACACAGGGTTTTCACTTTTTAAGTTAAATAAACAAGTAAATTAGTGAAGTATTTGAAAGGCCTTGTTTGTTCAGGCTCAGCACATCATCAAAATAAAATAAAACAAATTTGAAAAGAAATTGCATACCAATTTCTATTGTATTTTGAAGAGTTCAGAATTTTGAATTGATAAGCATGTGGTTCTCATTGTGAATGATAGGGCTACTCTTTCACTGTTGTTGAGGGGGAAATTTTTTATTCTACCTTTCAGGTTTCTTCTGGCTGGTCTAAGAATGAATTGACATGAGGCAGATTAATAGGGAAAAAAACAAAATTTGCTTACATATACACAGTCTCAGTAATAAAATTGAGGCCCAAAGAAATGACCAAGGCAGTCAGCTTTTATACTTTTTTAAACAAACAAACATATATCTGTAAGAAATTTACAGGGCAAAGAAATCTTAAGTTTGGAAGCTTCAATTAGTAAGGAATTCTAAATAGTGTTTGAACTGGGACAATAAATTAGTAAATGTAGCTAGGTTTATTTATAGAGCCTTCTCGCTTCTCAGCTCTGCATTTCTAATGTCTGGTGATACGGATGTCTCCTTACCTCCTGGTACAGGTAAAGGTACCTTTAATATGGAAGATTTATTTTCTGCTTTCTGAAGGCAAGGGGCATCATGGTGTTCTTCTTGCACTGGCTGTTCCTTGGTAACTTTAATTCAAAGTAATCACTATACCTAGGCCCCCACACTATCTATGAGAAAAATGCACTGTTTGTTTATCTGAAGACATTTTTTGTATTGTATGTGATTAACTGATCTCACCTAGAATTAACTTCAATGAGCTTATGTCTTACATCTAAAATTTTTGAAAAATAAAATTTTTAAATGCCAAGCTTTTACAACTTGGAAGTATATTAATGCAGTTATGGTATACTTAGTGATTTCCTACTGTGTATCAGGCACTGGCATTGCATCAGTGAAGAATAAGAAAAACAAACAAACAAACAAGCGAAAAACAACTACATGCCTCAGAGAGCACTATTAGAATGCTGTAGATATGCTATTAAATGCTACTAGATCCCTAATGACATTTATAGTCTTTGTATATATTCTGTTGTGATGTCTTTCAGAATTGTATGTTCTCCTAGATCTAAATTGATTGTTTTCTTTTGTTTTGTTTTTAATAGTGAATGAGTGTATCTAGTAGATGCCATATAAAGCTTTTCCAAATATATGATCCTAACTTCCAGGAAAGTGCATTCTAAAGAAACAAGAATGACAACAATTATTTTTACATTTCTTTTATTTCAAATGTTTGAGACAGAGCTAAGTGTCAAATTTGGAAAGAGAGTAGAAGGTGAATTCTGTTCATATCAGCACCGTATCTACTAATTAACATATGTTTACCAGAGAAAGAAAAGAACAGATTCTGATTTTTACTTTCAATAGGAAGGAGTGGGAAGAACAGAATAGAAAGAGAGAAAATATCTTAGAAGAGATGTTCAAAAATTTACAGAGATGATCTGTAAATTCATAAATGTAGTATTGCATATTATGTGTCTTTATGCACTATTTTTTCCTTCTTTCCTTCCTTCCTTCCTTCCTTCCTTCCCTCCCTCCCTCCTTCCTTCCTTCCTTCCTTCCTTCCTTCCTTCCTCTCTCAATCTCTCTCTCTCTCTCCCCCCCCCTTATTTTTGATTTGCATTTGGCCCAAAGCAAAATGAGCTCTCTCACTGGGTGTTCATTAGTATATATTTATTGATCATTCTACATGTGCCATACATTGTCCTAGGCACTGGGAATACATTAGCAACAATGAACAAAAATACTTGTCCTTATGGAATATACATTTTAGTAGGAATGTGTGCTCATAGTATAATCTTTCTGTTGATTTTCTCTATCTTGTTTCACTAATAAGGTTGCTTTTTTTAAAAAAGATTTTATTTATGTATTTGACAGGTAGAGACATAGCGAGAGGGAACACAAGCAGGGGGAGTGGGAGAGGGAGAAGCAGGCTTCCGGCCAAGCAGGGAGCCCAATGCGGGGCTCGAACCCAGGACCCTGGGACCATGACCTGAGCCGAAGGCAGACGCTTAACAACTGAGCCACCCAGGCACCCAATAAGATTGTTAATAATAACACTTAGTCCCTTGGATAAGAACCTGTGACTTTAGAATTTTAGACAGATTTATGCCTATCCATCAGCTCCATTTGATAATCTTTACTGATATTTCATTAATGATTTATTATGGCTGTTGGTTTATGGTTTGTTTAACAATAAACAAGTTATTAAGGTGGATTTGATGTAGGAAAATGAAGCACAAAGCGATTGATAGACTATTTCTTTTATGTAAAATAATTCATAAGAGGACATTGTAGGTCAGAGTTGGAAATGTTCCTGGGAGTTAAATTTGAAATAATCAGAGATTTTTCTTAGTAGTCTTATTTTATCATTAATGAAATTACAGTTGCCTAAGTTCCTAGGTAAACCAGATGTACCCCAAAATAAGGACTTACCAACCTTTCCTAGAATGTATTTTATCAATAACGTATAAATTAAGAAATGCTTTTTTTTTTGAGAAAACGTGCAAAATAGCTATTGCATTTGTAAGCTCAATCCCTAGAATTGAAAAAATAAGAAGTTATGCATTTTATAGTATTAATTAATATAAAAGGAAAACAGTTAACTACCCATTAATTTCTAATGAAGAGTCTTTTTTATTATAAGCTATTACATGTTTAAAGACAGCAGTGGTTTATGGAAGTAAATGAGCTAATCAATTAGTGATTATTTGGTTCATTTGAGGAGGTATTGACTTAAATAAAGATTGCTAGGTTCATTAAAAAATAGATATTTTATGTAGTGTATTTTAAATCTTTAGATTTTTAACAGGCCGATAACAGCAATTAAATAATTTGGATTAATATGCCACAAATTGTCAATTGTGGTAACAGTGTTTTCAGGTTGGGCCAATAGGTTTTAAAATGATCTTTTATAATGATATGTATGTGATTTCTGGTAATAAGGTATGCATATGTGGAAAAAAACTACTAAGGAAGAGAGCAAATTATTTATTTTTTAGAGTAATTTATTGCAAGTTCTCTTTACCTCACAATTGACTTTTAAACTATCCTTCAACTATGAAGAAGTCACTGACATATGTAGAATTTAAATGATTTGTTGGGATTGTCAAAGTCTTAGAAGTTTAAAATTATAAGAGAGTGATTTGTAATGCTAATTCCAGGACTGTAACCTTTGACCCATTTGTGCAGATCGGACAAAGCATCTTCCTCTAAACCCTGTCTGTAGTGGCCATATCTGCCTGCTTTTATCAACTGCCTTACTAAATTGTGTACCAAGAAGGGTCATTTTATTTCTCCGAAGCCATACTGGACTGTTTTCTCAATCAAAGTATTATTTTCCTCAGTGATAACACTGAGCCACTTAAGCTACAATGGCAATGTACTTTGAGGTGATTGCATGTTTTAGAACTATGGAAACATTTTTGGTCAAGCAAAGTTAAATTGAATTCATTTCAAATAGATGAGATGAGGTTTGTTTAGCCATCCTGCATGCAGGGCAAGTGGTAGGGGAGAAATGTATTTTCATTTTTTACAGAGTCAGAAAATTTTTATGAAAGAGTATTTATCAAAATGTTGTCCCGTAGGATCCCGTTTACTTTCCTACTTAAAAGTAAATATGCTTTTAAAAAAAGTTTTTCTTCTGAGTGATGAGCAGATTTCAGACTGATGCTTCCTTTAGAAAGACATGATTTATATCATGAAATAATGAGGACATTTGCCAACTCTTCTGAGTAAATGGCTCTTAAAAATGTGAATATAACAATATTAATGGTACCTTTTTAAATTACACTTTTTTATGTGCATTACATAAAGTTCATAAAATTTGTTTTACTTAGAATATTTAATACCTAAATGTTTCTATAAGACCTGCTCATCTTAAAAAAGAGAAGGTTTCCAAGCCAGGGAAATGTACATTAAAATGCACACGAGTGTTTAAGATCTTAAAGAGAGAGAGAGAGAGAGAGAGAGAAGCTTTCTCTAAGGCTACTCTCAGAAAGCAAATATTTGCAAATAATTGCTAGTAAAATTTCTCGGAATGCTGAGAGCTTCTTGGGATGAGGGGCAGGAGTGTCATGCAAGATTTTTGGCTTCTAAGTGTTCCCTCTTCTGCATAATCTGGCAGTGTCTTATAATATATGTAGCTCTGCATAAATGAGTAAAAGTAAGCCAGTCTTGCAAAGGGCAACATTTACTCCCTTTGGTTGCAGTCTGTAAAGAAAGGAAAGTGAAGCTGTGCTATTCCTTTTAAGATCAAAATTGTAGTATTTATTCTGTTCTAATCTTTGTATTGCACTTTGCAATCTTTTGGTTCTTCACGACTGTTTGACAAGCTATGTACACACTGTAGAGCAGCATATGGATCCATAGAAATGCCTTTTACTTAGAGGGAATATAGGAGAATGGAAAGAACACAGTAGATCATGAGACATGTTCCACTTTCAACTCAACCACTTACCTTGTTGTGTAGCTTGGATAGGTTGGTTACCGTGGCTACACTTTGGCTTTACAACTTCTCTAAGTGGGTTAACTAGGAATCTCTTGAATTGCTTTCAGCTCTGAAATTTCATTGATACTAATGATGTGCTCTTAATTATGTCTTCTGGTGATTATTTCAAAGCATAGATTTCACCCTTGACTTTTTTTA